AAACAAGCAATACATAGTATGCGAGGCGACGATGGGTGCCCAGGGGCCACTCGTGGAACAGGTAGAGGGCTGTTCTAAATCCGGCGCTCAGGGAAGTCCTCACTGACCATGTGACGTTTGGATCCTGACTTAAAGGGCAAGGAGCAAGCCCCGGGGGAGAGAGTTTGGGGGTGGGGGGACGGCAAGAGCAAGTGCAAAGGCCCTGAGGTAGACGTGTGCTTGGCCCATTCAAGGAAGAGCAGGGAGGCCGTGTGGCCACAGCTGCGGAAGCAAAGGGGTGAGAGCAGACAGTGAGGCTGGTGAGGGGGTGGGGGACCTTGCTGCCATCTGAGGGGTCCTGGTGGTCACGCGGAGTAAGAAGGTTGCCCGCTCAGGGCACCGAGCCGAGGAGGGATGGGATTTGACTTAGCTGCACAGGCTCCCTCTACGGCATGCAGCGTGGGCTGGGCGCAAGCGGGGAAGCAGGGAGAGCTCAGCGAGGAGGGGGCTGCAACATTCCAAGAGGTGCTGGGGGTCACGAGGGAGGTCACGGTGGGGTAATGGGAACCCCACAAACACCAGAAATGTGGGGGGACAGCCAGCAGGATTTGCCTGTGGGTCAGAAGGGGGCTGTGAGGGAAAGAGTCAAGGGCACCCTCCAGGCCGAAGCAGAGAAAGGAGGGAGTTGTCATTGTCTGGGAGGAGGGACTGAGGCCGGAGCAGCTGGCAGAGAAGGCAGGGAGTCCAGGGCCTAGCGTTGGACGTGTGGAGTCTGAGCGACTCCTTAGACATCCAGGAGCCCGGAGCCCGGGGCAGTTCTGGCTGGAACTATACGTCTGGGATATGCCATGTTGGGAGCTGTTGGTATATAGTATCTAAAGCTGTCTGTCTGGCTAAGGCCACCCAGCGCGCAGCACTTCTTGAACTTGAACGTGCAGGCCGGAGATCTTGATAAAATGCAGGTTCGGAGTCAGACAGAGGTCCGGGCAGGGCCTGAGAGAAGCTCCCTGGGGTGGGGGACGCCGAGACCCCTCTCTGAGTGCCAGGACCCAGGGCGTTGTTGGGCAGCCAAGACCCGTGGGTGGGCAGTGAAATCGACAGAGCGGCTCATGATCCGTATTGAAAGAAAATGGAAGCGGATGGATTCACATCACAAGGGCACGTATCAGTTCCCCAAACCTCGTTTCGGTTATCTGAGCCGGGGAGTCCTGGGGACATGCCGTCGCCATGGCCACAGGGTCTGAGAAAACCTGGCCGGGAAGTGAGGGGAGACAGAGAAGGGAAGAGGCCCGGAGCCGAGCGTGGGAGGATGAGGAGGAGCCAGCGAGGAGGCAGATAAGGCGATGCGGGAGGTGGGCAGAAACCCAGAACGGAGAGTCCTAGACGCCAAAAGAGGAAAAAGACCCAGACTGGAATGATCCTGTGCTTCCCCCAGCCCTGTTGCCAAGCACATCAGAGCCTCAGTTCCCTCCGCCGTGATGTGCAGACCTCACGGTCTCTGCTTGTGGCGGTGGCCGTGAGGTGGCCCTGGGCGCGGGGCGGGGCAAGCGTGTGAACGACGGAGTGATTCCCACTCCGGTCCTGGGCTCCGAGCCCCTCCAGCCCAGCAGGCTGCCCCCCGTGGCGCAGGCAGATGAAGATACCGAGACCCAGACGACGGGAGTATCGGCCTGAGGCTGACCAGAGCAGACCTGCGGGGCTCCTTCCTCCGCGCCTACTTTCTGCCCCGCCCGCCTGTGTGGGTCTGACCCTGCCGTGCTCCATGGCCCCTGGCTGCAGGCCCGTCCTGAAGACGGACAGCCGCCCCGGGGGGGGAGGGTCCCTGGGGGCCGTCTAAAATTCCTCCGGTGGCCAGTGGCCAGGGTGGACGTGCTCCGGCCCTTCCTGCAGCCCTGGCCTTCCTGGCCAGCCAGGAGGAGGAAGAAGCGAATTTGTGCACCTGCCCACTGTGGGGCCTAGGCCCAGGGGCCTGGCCATCGGCCACGTGTCTCTTTGGAGGGTGGGTAGGCGGCACCTGAAAGCGTCGGTATCCGTCGCAGCCCCAGCCGGAAACAGATGGCACGTTCCACTGGGATCGGGAGGGTTCAGTGAAGGGTCTGTTTACACAGGTGTGGGCAGGGGGCAGGGACACCACAAGGGACAGTGCTGAGCCCCAGGGTTGCCGGCAGCGGGGGCCTTGACCATGCTCAGCTCAAAAGGCCATGTGGAGAGGCCGTGGCCTTCCGTGGAGGGAGGCCACCAATTTGCAGTGACCCCGCAGGGAAGGACACGGAGGAATGATCCTCTTCCTCCTCTTCTTCCTTCCTCTCTCTGTCTGTTTGGGGCTGGGGGGTGAGTGTGGGGAGAGGTGGACCCATCAGGCGAGACCGAGCATCCGGGCAGTAGCCGAAGACGACTACTTGAAGGTCCATCCCCAGCTGGGAGTCCACAGGACGGTCAAGCTTCCTGGGGACAGGTGACCTGGCCTGGGAACCCACCTCTTCCTCTGGGAACCAGAACAAGACCCACCTACTGGTGCCTCAGGCTCCCCGTGCCTCAGTGGGTCCCGCCCCGCCTTCCCTTCCAGGGTGCTTCCTGCTTTCAATAAACACATCTCGAGGGTCGTTGCGTCCTGAGCTCTGTGCCTGCCCTCCAGGGGCTTCTGATCAAGGGGAGAGACTGGCACAGCACGACCCCACCTAGGCTGGGGGTGGTGCGGGTGACCTCCTCTCCACCCCAATCTCTTCCTCCCTGTACGGGGGCGAGGGGGGGGGTCTCTGGGGGCAGGTCCAGGCTCTCCTGCGGCTTCTGCAGTTTGTGCTCTCCCTGGACACGTCCTACAATTTCTGCACGTCCTGTGGCTTTCTCCTGCTCACTAGAGGGTCCAATGGGCCTTGTTTATAACACCGGTCGGGGTGGATGATGCAGCGTGGAGGGACGGCAGAGGGAGGGAGGTTGGAGAAGGGCTTCTGATGGGACCCCTGTCACAGCCCCAGGTGTCCCAGCACCCACTGTGGACAACAGTCCCCCCCGTCCCAGGACGCCAACAGCCCCGTGAAAGTGGTCCCCACAGTCAGATCAGGAGGGAGATGCAGGGAAGGAGGTGAGCTTAGAGAGAAGCAGCCCCAGAGACTCTGCCCGCCGCCCCAGGGGGCTCTCACTCTCTGGTGAGCCGTGGGCTCCTCCTCTGAAAGTGGTTGAACGGCCGGGCCCCTGGAGGTGGCTGTGAGGATGCAGAGCTGATAAGGTGAACGCTAGGGTGGGGCCCGGCACGCAGGGGGCGCTCAGCCCCTGGGGCTGGACTAACTGTCCCCGGTTAGGAGGCCTAAGGAAACCTCACAGCCACCCCTCCTTGTCCCCCACGGAGGCCACCCTTTGCCTTGTGTTGCCCACTTCCCCATCTCTGCACCCACGGCGAGAGGCAGGGGACCTGCCACGTTCAGGGGACGCCCTCACCCTGTCCCAGGCTTCCTGGCCTGCGGGGCACCGTTGAGTCTCCCGTGACCCCACACCTATGCCTGGCCGGGAGCCAGCCGGGCCGCTGCAGGGCTGGGCAAGCAGACCTGCCCCGAGTCCCCACCCTAGGAGCCGCACTGGCCCTCCCCACCCCATGTCAGCTCCTGCACTGGCAATGCACGCCTGCTCTGACCCCTCCAGAGGCAGCCCGGCCTCCTGCCTTCTCTGCCCTCCCTGGGCCTTGACTTCTCCATCTGAGACTCCAGACAAGTGTCAAGAGAAAGACCCGCTGGCTCCATCCTCTCTGTGGGCCCTGCCAACATTCATCAAGATTCGTCTTCCCGAGCCCAGCTCTGCCAGCTCCTCCTGCTACGTCACCGTCCGAGACTCCCTGTGGCCCATCAGGATGAAGTCCGGGCATTCAAGGCTCCCCTCCCAAAGCAGGGCCAGAGTCTGCCTCTCCAGCTTTCCTGTCCCCAGCACACCCCTGTGTGTCCTCCTCACCCCTTTCTTCCGCCCCACCCCACGCATCCAGTCTTTCAAAGGCCGGGCCTAAATGCCACCTCCTCCAGGCAGCCCAGGCTTCCTCCTCTGAGCTCCCTTGGGCCTGACCCTAGCTGCTACCCATGACCAGCACCATGGTGGGCACTTACTGTTTGCAGAATGAACAAGGGACAGTCCTGGGGCCGTCTCCCAGGCACAGGGAGCACTGCGGAGGGAGCACGGCCTGTGAGCCAGGCCCAGGGCTCAGCGCTCGAAGGCTCTGAACTCAAAGTCTCACCGTGGCCTGGCGAGGAAGGCCCCACTGTGCCCACTTTACAGACAGGGTGACCGAGGTGGAGGGGCTTGGTCATGGTCTCATATCCTAGCTCAGGGTCAGGAGGGCAGGGTTTTGACGCCCGGGCCATGTGACTTCAGAGACACCAGGAAAATGTGCCCTCCTCTCGCTCGGGCTGTCTTTTGTCCCCGGAGGATTTTCCGCACGTGGACGGGGCAGGCGCAAAGTGCGTGTCTTGGAGCAGGGCCCCTGTTCTCTCGGGGCTCGGGGACCGCAGCCCCAGTGGCCAGCCATGCTGTGCCCTGTGCCCTGTGCCCTGTGCCCTGTGCCGTGCTGAGCCTCAGTTTCTCAAAGAAAGAAGGAAATGACGGCAGCCAGCGCCGTGCCACAGGAGCCAGCCTCGGTGCCCAGGGAGATCTGTCTGAATCCCAGTCCCATTATCTTTAGGGGCCAGTGATCTCCCTTCACGGGGCCTCTCTTTCCTCATCTGCAAAGTGGGACCACTGACCTCATGGAGCTGTGAGCCCCACACGGACTGCCTTGGCCAGTGCCTGTCTCCCGAAAGGTTCCCTTGGTGGGTGTTTAGGGTGATTGTTTTCATCTGTCCCCTGCCCCGGGGCTGCCAGCCAGCCCTGGACAGGGTGGGATGGGAGGGTGGAGTGCATGGGGAGACGAGCCTGGAGCCTGGGCCCTCCCACCCCACTGCCTCCCCCTCCCTAGGGCCCCCCACCCAGCGACAAAGCTCATGGCACTTCCTCTCCCGCCTGGCAGGCCGCCTGGCCCAGCCCCTTCTCTAAGGAAGCGCATTTCCTGCCTCCCTGGCCTGGCTGGATGAGCCAGGAGCTCCCCACCGCTGCCGGTCATTCCCCAGCCCCGGACTGCTGCCGCCCACACCAGCCCAGCACCCTCTTCCCGCTCATCCCTCAGCCAGCGACCCTCGGCCCGGCCCTGTGCCCCGTGCCCACTTCTGACCAACTTGGCCGTCACCTTAGAAGGCTGGAGCAGGGACAGCGTCGCTCCGGTCGCCTGCTCCCTTTGGGTCCCCGTGTGAGCCCACGCCGGCCCCCAAGCCTGCCCGCAGCTCTGCCCCTGGACACCGGATAACGCCCAGCGACCAGAGCCCGCGGGGGACGGCATGGACCACAGCGCACGCTTCCTGGTCGTGGCCCTGCTGCTGGCCATCGGCAGCCTCAGCCCCACAAGTAGGTGTTTGGGCCCCGGGGTGGGGGGACCAGGCTCCTTGTCCCAAGCTCATGCCCTCGGGAGCTCATGTCCTGAGGGGTTGGACAGCCCACAGCAGATGCCATAGGGTGACCGACCATCCTGGTTTGGCAGGACCAGGAACTTTTGGTCCTGAAAGTCCCAGGCAAACAGAGGTGAGTTATTTACCTTAAACCTGGTCTCTAGCCTCTGGCCTCCTGGTTTCTCTCCAGGAAGCACAGGCCCGAGCATGCTGTGCAGCCCTGGGAGCGCCTCCTGCCCTCTCTGGGCCTTAGGTCTCCTATCGGAGGAACGTGTGGGAAGGAGGGCACCAGGCCTCACGTTTGGACTCGGGCTTTAGGCTGTGGTTACTTCCTCGTGGTGTGATCTTGGGGAACGACCTTCCGGCCTCTGAGCAAAGTGGGGGTGGTAACAGGCTCCTCTGGGGCTGCCGGGAAGGCCGGGTGAGGCGATGCTTGCGGACAGATGTGCCGGGCAAGCTGACTGTTCCCGTGTTGTTGCTGTTGTTCCATAATTAGCTTTGAACCCTCCACCCTCACCTTCCCCCGGGTCCCGTGCGTGGCTCAGACCCCTCTGAACGCAGTGTGCTCCTCAGCCGCCGTCCCCGCTCTGCTCCCCAGGAAGCCTGCAGGATTGGGGTGCAGTCCCAGAGCAGGGCTTCTGTGGGCACTCTGCGGCCTGGGGGGCTTTTGCAGGGGTCGTGGCCTAGGCTGCCTTCAGAAGCTGACCAGACGAGGGGCCACGAGGAGCCTGGGACTCCTCGTCCCTCGTCCCACTTCCTGTGGCCTTGCTGTGCCCCGTGAACGCACCCACCTGAAGCCGCAGCATGGCCCTGTGGACACCCCCTCAGCCCTGGTGCACCCAGGAACTCCCTAGAGTGGGGGTGCCCAACCCGTGGCCCACGAGCCACATGCGGCCCAAGATGGCTGTGAATGCAGCCCAACACAAAATCGTAAATTTACTTAAAATATTATGAGATTTTCTTTTTGTGATTATGTGTCCCCATGTATTTCATGGGTGGCCCCAACCAACTTGTCTTCCAGTGTGGCCCAGAGACGCCAAAAAGTGGGACACCCCTGCCCTAAAGGACCTGGGGGGTGGTGAGAATGCAGCAGCAGCAGCAGCGGCGGCGGCCTGCCCCTCCCTGCTGACCCCCACCCCCATGGCCTCCCCAAGTCCCCAAACCCCGGTCTCTGGAGCGCTCCCCCCTGCCTCACGGACAGACAGGAAAGGGAGCCTCAGACACTTAGTGACTTAGCAGGGATTTGACCCCGGGCCCGTGGCTTCCTAACCGCGGGCGATACAGCTCCCGGTCACCCCGCAAGACGGCTACCACCGTCGTCCCATTTTACAGGACAGGAAGTGGAGGCGGTGGCCGGCCGCGTTCACACAGCTCGATGGGGGCCCTCCCTGAGCCCCACGGCGGCTGCCCTGACTTTCTCCCCCAGCCCCCGCATTTCTAGCTTGGTGGGTGGCACTCTCTTCTTGACGCCATTCATCAGAGGAAGGTCCGTGAAGGTCTCTGGGGCCTGGTTTTATAGGCTCAAGGGCAGGGGTGTGCTGGCAAAGAAAATGAACAGCAGGGTGAGAGGTTGGGGGTGGCGCTGGTTAGTTCCTGGGGTGTAAATGTTCCCACATGGCTGATTTTGAGAAACCAGCTCACTGGACTCACTCGGAGTCAGTGAGAGGTGCCCAGCAGGGGACCCTCAGCAAGTATTTCCATCACACACACACACGACAGACGCAGATAATAACCTCAGGAACACAGATGATGGTGGAATGGAGTACAATTATTAGGAAGCGAGAAATTTGATATGTATTACCTTTTAGAAAATGCATGTTATTTAACTGCAAGCTTGTCAAGTTTAGTTTTGAATAATGGCTGTGTTTAACAGCCTGTTGGAAAAATCTCCTGGTAATTTATCGACCTGCTCCTGCGAGCAGGTACTGACTCCCGGAGGCCGTAGGGTCCGAGGGAGCTCCCGTTCCAAACCACCCAGCCTGACTCCCTTACAGTCTGGGAGACGGAGGCCCAGGAGGGTCAGCTGGGGGCCTGGCCAGGGCATGGGGCTCAGCTCTCCAGACGGGGGGAGGATGTGAGGGTGGCCCAGGTCTTGCCATTCAGGCGGGAGGAGGTGCCGACGGGTGCAGACCAGGTTCAAAACCAGGTCCAGCCTTCTGGGAACAGAGCTTGACAGAATCTCTCAAAAAACTGTACTTGTAAGAGCAACTCAGCCTTCAGAAGTCAGACCTGGAGAGTTACTTGCCCAGCTCTGTAAGGATACACGGTCCCTACGTAGCCGTAACAAAAACCCAACGTCTGGAGGCCACCCAGATGTCCAGCAGCCTGGGCCTCGTTAGCTGGATTACGATGCCGTGGAATAGCGTGCAGTGGTTATCAAGCAGCTGGACCTCGTCTGCCCTGCCGTGGGCAGACAGCGGGGCCGCGCTGCCAGCTGCCCAGACAGCAGCGGCTCATTTCTTTGAGAGTGAAACAGTGACCACACGCAGCACACGCAGAGAAGACCCAGCGTGCGACCACTCATGCTTTCTCGAGCGCCAGGATTTTCGCCTAAGACACACTTTTTTGTCATGTTGGAATTCTTTTCAAGAACAAGCAGGTAGAGATTTTTTTAAAAGCAATTTAACTATATATTTACTTTAGTCTGCTCCTCGAAGAAAATGTATAAGAGGGGAAAAATTGTTAGCACGCTGGGGGATTGCTTCCTGGCTTTTCTTTTTTTAAAAAAAGAATTTTTTAAATTTTATTTTGAGAGCAAGGGGAAGGGAGGGAGAAAGAGAGGGAGACAAACATCAATGTGTGGTTGCTTGTCATGCGTGCCCAGTGGGGGACCTGGCCTATGTCCCAAGCATGTGCCCTGACTGGGAATCGAACTGGTGATGCTGTGGTTTGCAGGCTGGTGCTGAATCCGCTGAGCCACACCAGCCAGGGCAGATTGCTTACTAGCTTTTTAAGGTAATTTTGATGCAGGGGGATTAACATTCGGGCATCTTGTGTACCCTTCTTATGTCCCAGAGGTTTCTGTGTTGTCGTGGGGACGCCCAAACCATCCCATTGTGGTTCTGGAACAGTCTCTTCCTTAAAGGTGCCCTCCATCCTTTGCCTCATAGAGTCCCTATTGTTGCACACTTAGGTGGTTTCCCCAGCGGGGCTAATTATAAATACCACCTCCGTGCACATTTTTGGTACACGCACCTTTTCCTGTATTCGTAGTATTTCGCTTGGACGGAGTCCCAGAAGCGACGGTGCGGGGACTCGTGGCCCGCGCCGCGCGGCTGGGATCAAAGGGTGTTTCCTGAGTGTGGGCGCACGTTCGCCGGAGGATGGGCCGGAGGCCTGACTTCGAGTCCCCGTGCCGCTGGCCAACTGTGTGGGGCTCTGGGACCCTCTGGGGGGGGCGCTGGTGTCACAGGACAGAGCCCACACATGTCTATGTCGTAGAGGCTGTGTTCCCGGACAGCTTCCCTTTTGCCAGGAGGAAAAAGAGGCTGGAGCGGGAGCCGTGGGAGCCAGGAGAGGTTGGGTCCCTGAAGCCCATTCTCACTGCCATGAGGATTCTCATCCTGGCCTTGAGTGGCTCATTGTGTTGGGTGTCGGCCCATAAACCGAGGGGTTGCCGGTTAGATTCTCAGTCAGGGCACATGCCTGGGCTGTGGGCCAGGTCCCTGGTTGGGGGCGTGTGAGAAGCAACCGTTTGATGTCTCTCTTGCACATCAGTGCTCCTCTCCCTCTCTTCTCCTTTGTCTAAAAACAAATAAGTAAAATCTTAAAGATTGTTAGCTCTGGCTGGCATAGCTCAGTGTATTGAGTGTGGGCTGAGAACCAAAGGGTCACAGGTTCAATTCCCAGTCAGGGCACATGCCTGGGTTGTGGGCCATGACCCCCAACAACCGCACATTGATGTTTCCCTCTTTCTCTCTATCTCCCTCCCTTCCCTCTCTAAAAATAAATAAATAAAATCTTTTAAAAAAATATTCTTTCACCTTAGCCAGACAGATGGTGACACTAAGACCCAGAGGGAAAGAGACACCGGTCTCTCAAGGTCACAGACAGGTCAGGGCTGGGCCCTCTGAGGACAGGCCTGGTCTGCTCGCTCAAGGTCCTGAGGGGGAATCCAGGCCAGAGGGAGGGATGCAAGACCCTTTTCTGGGTCTGCAGCGCGTCAGGCAGCTCCTCGTCTCTAGACCCCGTTAATAGCTGAGGACACCGAGGCTCAGGACAAGGGGCGCAGGTCCAGAGTTCAACCCCAGGCTGCCTGCTCCCACACCCAGCTTCTTTCTCTGCGCCTGGGGCGGCCTGGTGTGGGGGCTCGGAGAGCTGATGGCCCTGGCCCTGGGCCCTCTCTCCTAGTTCCAGGCCCGGCTTTGGGGTCCCAGCCCTTGAGGCTGAAGAGGACCCTTATCCAGGGCTGAGCTCATGTCAGTAGCCATGATAGGGGTGGTGGGAAGAGACCAATAAGACAGCCCACATTGATTCAGCGCTTACTGGGTGCCGGACGCTGCTCTGGACATGTTACGTGTACTGTCAGACCGAGCTTCACAGAAGCCTGATGAAGCGGACCCCGAACTGTACAGCCAAGGAGCTGGGGGTGCGGGCCAGGGAAAGGGTTTCCTTGAGTAATGCAGCCCAGACGTGAGCGGCTGGGGCTTGAGCCCGGGGCCTAGCCACTGCACCGCACTGCCTCGGGGAGGATGATGAGGATGCCTCTGTTTGCAGACCTTCCCGCCACGGACATTCGGTCCCTTTCCTGCACCTACAGTGGCCCTCCCGCCTAGAGCCCAGCCGGATCAGTTCTGATGAGGTTTTCACAATAGGGTTTTGAAGGATGAATAGAAGTTGGCTAAGTGGCCGAATAGAGGAAGACCATTGGTTTGGGAAAGGGCTTGGCAGAGGCCATGAACATGGTCTGTCTGAAGGCAAAGCTCGCCTCTCCCCACTGACTGGGCATGACTGACTGTGACAGCAGCTGCCGGCCCCTGAGCAGCCCTCACGCGTCGGGAGCCTGCTCAGCCCTGTGCACGCATCTTCTCACCAGGAGCCCCCCCACCTGGCTGAGAAAGCTGTTATGATCGCGCCATCCCCATTCCACAGAGGACAGCACTGGGCCGTGGACAGGAAGCTGCTGGGTGGTAGCAGAACCGGGATTTGAACCTTCGGCATCTGCCAGACCCCTGCGCTGTTTAACCCCGCTCTAGGTGTGGAGTGTGGCCTTGCCCCCGAAGGCACTGGGAAGTTCCGGGGAAGACTGGAGAATGGAGCGTCGAGGCCCTGCGGGGGGCTGTGCCCAGCGCGGGGGGTTGGGCTGGGAGCTGGGAAATCTTTGAGGGTGTAACTGAGCCCTAAGAGGAACAGACGGTGGCTGGGCTCATGGGTGATGGAAGAAAAAACCAGAAAAGGCCCCATCATAAAGGATCCCCCCTGGTATATACACAATAACCACAGAACACGTGCTGGGCACCACTCTGTACACAGGCTGCCACACGAGGCTGACCCATGGCGGCCTGCGGGGTGGGTGCTGGGTGCTGGGTGCCGGGTGCCAGGGCTGTCTGCGTCCAAGCACAGGCCCTGCCACTCGGGAGCTGGGGATCCTCAGGCTGGCTTTCGCTCCTCCCTGAACTCCGGCTTCCTCGTGTGTCAAACGGTCGTACTAATAGCACCCACTTCGTCGCAGGCTGCCGTGAGGGTCAAAGGACAGAGCTGCCGAGGCCTCCACGCCGCCGTCCCTGGTCCCGGTGCGCACGACGGAGCTGTCTGGCAAACGGGGAAAGGGAGGCTCGGAGGAGTCAGGGTTTCGCTCGAGGTGACCAGCGTTTTAAGAGGCAGACCTGGGGTTTGACCCAGGACCTCAGGCTCCCGAGCTGCTTTTCTTGATCATTATCATCGGTGGCCTCCCCAAGTTCTAGGGGTGGCCGTTGGGAAAGCCCCAAGGTGGCCCCGGGTTCACGGGTCGGAGAGGAGACAGGGGTGGGAAGGTGACTCTGGGTCTCTCGCTAGGCCAGCGGGTCACCCAGGCTCCCGGCGGCGCCTCGCCCGGCGCAGGTCCCTGGAGGCCCCGGAGTTTCCCGTGGTGCCGGGGGAGATTGTTTTCTGCTCTGTCTGGGCCCGCCTCCGGCTCCAGGAGACAGGCCTGGGCGTCACACTCCCTCCTGTCTCCCCATTCTCGTCGGCGGGGTGGGGGCAGCCAGGATTCGAAAAGGCCCCAAAATAAATGGGCCTCTTATCTGATCTCCCAGCCTGGCCCGTTATCTGATCATTACATAATGGCCGTGCCGCTGACGGCATGGAGGAGGTGGCCCCGGCGGCCCCGGTGGCCCGGCAGTCCGGCAATCTGGGAGGAACTGGGGTTCCTGGAAGTCTGGGGAGGGGGCAGGGAAAGTCCGGAGGGAAGGAGGAAGCCACTGTGCTAATCGGCAGGCCCGACCCTGGGTCATGTGGGGAGAGGTAGGTCCCGGGCCCAGCCTCGGCAGCCACGCGCAGTGCTGTGACTCCGGCACCCTTAGCCTCTCCCGGCCTCAGTCTCCCCGTCTGTAGAGGAGGGGCTTGGGCTAAGTAACAGCCAAGAAGTGTGTGTTCACTGATAGGGAAAGGGAGAGGGTGGGGAGCTCTGAGGGGCTTGGTGGGTCACGAGGGGGCGGGACAGGAGGAGACGGTGCCAGCCCGGCAGTCTGCGGGGCTGAGGGAGGTGGCTGGGCCGAGCCCTGGGACCCTCCGAGAGGCCCCTCCCCGACAGGCTGCACGCCCCTGTGTCCCCACCAGAGAGACAGTCCTCTCCAGTGCCCAGGGCCTCAGGTAAAGTGATCGAAAAAACCAACCACCAGGTGCTCTTTCTCCGAAGGCATCCCAGCCCCTCCGTGCACTGTGCGGGTCTCTTCCGACCCTCCGGTCCTCTCCCGGACACGGCCGCTGGAGCCCGACGGGGTGAGGTCGCTTGCCAGAGCCAGACAGCCTGGCCTGGGGGCTTTGATGCGAGCCGAAATGCCGCATGACCCAGGCACCCCAGGGTCCCCAGCACATGGGCCAGGTCCCGGGCACGGACTCACACGGCCTGCGCCCCCACGGCGGCCAGATGTCTCTGTCCGGAACGCATCCTCCCCGAGATGTTGCAGGGAGATGGGGTTGCGCAGGCAGCGGAAAGGTGGGGGAGAAGGCCGGCTGGTCTGAGACACGGCCCAGCCAGCGGCCCGGGTTCTGAAGAAGCCTCCCTGCCCCCTGCTCCGAGCTGGCGTCGGCCGGGCGCGTGTGCAGTCCCTCGGTGCCCGGCTTTGATCTCCAAGAAAACAGGAAGGGAGCGCGACGAGATGGAGACATTGGCTTCCAAGCAGTCTCCCCTTCTCTGTCCTCCTTCCCTCCTCCAGAGCCCCCTTCCCGCCCCCCCACCAGCACATTCCTGAGGCCGAGGTGTAGGGGGCCTCATTTCCTCTTCCTCCTCCGCGGGGTCAGGGTGAAATTCCAGGGCCTTCCCTCAGGACCCGCACTTCCCGCAGCAGCCCCAGGCGGCCTCCCGCCGGCTGCCCTGCGACCTGGACTCACGCTGGCTGGGGACAGGAGGCCCCAGCTCTCCTTGGCCCATCCCTCTCCGCCTCCTTGAGGCACAAGAGGGGACCTTGTGTCTCCGATTGCAGCTCTCACCTTCCTTTGGCGTGAACCGGCCTGCAGGTTCGGGTGCGTGAACTGTGTGGGCCCCACCACGCCAGCAGGGTTGTCCTGTGTAGCAAGTAGAATACAGGATGCCCAGTTGGATTTAAATGTCAGGTAACCCATGCAAACAATTTTTAGTATAAGTGTATCCCATGAAATAGTTGGGACATACTTACGCTTTCAAAATTATTTATGTTTTTACTTATTCGAATGTATTTGGGTGTCCTGAGTGTTATCTATCGACTTTACACTGAGTAGCCCTGTGCATCCAGGACAGGGACTTTCTCCTTCCGAGCCTCCGTGTCCTCATCTGGGGAATGGACATCGTGATACCCGCCTCGCGGGGCAGCTGTGAGGACGCGGTGCAGCACCGAGCCCGCGCCGTGCACCCAGCAGGCACCCAGCAGGCACCCAGCAGGCACCCAGCAGGCACCCAGCAGGCGGGAGGAGTGGCCACCACCTGGTTCTCATCTGGCCCTCTCTCCGGCTGTGCTTCCCCCACAGGTCTTGCACAAGCAGTCCACTGTGACCTGCAGCCTGGGGACCCCGAGGTGACATACTTCACAAGCCAGGTTCCTCACGGCTGTGTGGCTCACGTCCCCAATGCCACCGTCGAGGTCCACATCCTCTTCCTGGAGTTCTCAAGGGTGAGTGCCCGAAGACAGGGTCGGGTAGGGGCTTAGAGGCAGGCCCGGGGGGCCCTCGGGGTGTGGGGAGTCAGTCTTCCTTGTGCCTGTCCCTGGAGCTGTGGGGCGAGTCCGCCTGCCGGGAGGGTGGCACGAGCATCTCACGGGGCCTACAGAGGGTGGCACTTCTGGGTGGCCCAGAAGGTCTCCCTGGGGCAGTCCTCTGGATGTCACCCCAAGACCCAGGTAGGGAGGGCTGGGTTCGGCCCGAGACCCCTGGAGAGGAGCCAGGGGGCGGTGCAGCGGGCCGAGTGAGCTGGTGTCTGTGTGGCCCCAGTGACCGGGGCTTCTCGCAGACGGAGCTGCGCTCTAGGCAGCTGGGACTTTGAGAAAGTGCTTCTTCCCCCAGTGGGGCCCGAACCTCCCTCCCCGGAGGGTCCTGCACCAAATGTCTGCGGCCTGGCAGGCAGCCCCTCGATGTCAGCGTCGGAAGCTATTTCCCCGCTGTGGCCCCCCTCCATGAGAACGCCCCCCACCCGAGGCCCACCACCTAGATTTTCTAGGCCCCTGTTCCTAACACATCTTCTAAGGGTTCACTGTGTGCTAAGTGCTGTGCTGGGCCTACTATGGACCAGAAAGTGAGTTCAAAATCTTAACATGCATCGTGTCTCCCAAGAGCCCACCTGGCCCGGTCTGTTATTAGCCCCATTTTGCAGGGGAGGAAACTGAGGCAGGTCTATGGCGGTGAAGCAACCTGTCCGAGGCCAGAGTCCACCCGAGATCCCCAGGGATGCCGAGCCGGGCTGTCACCTGGCTCCCCACGGGATCTCAGTGTTCGGACGGTGTCTGGTGCTCCCGGGCCAGTGACCACGCCTGGCGGACGTGGCCTCAAGTCCTGAGAGCGGCTGAGTGGTGTCAGCTCAGGGTAAACGTGTGGCCGACTTGCCCCCGAAGCTGTTACGTTGCCCTGCATTTGTGCGGTGATAAGACAGTGCCCAGACCACCAATATCGAGGGGCCTGCTCCCACCGCCCTGCCTGCCATGAGGACTGCAGGCCTCGATAACCCCCAAACCACAGATAGCGCCAGACACACGTGGTGTGGTTTTCACAGCCATTGTAATTTGTTTCAAGTTTGGCGACAATGTGGAAAATAAGAATGCCCTCTGGGTGTTCGTTCTGTTTGTTCTGATGTTCAGGTCTCTGTGCCCCCTCTGGGGGATGGGGGTCCCCTCACCCAAATCATTTCACAGTGAGCCAGAGTCGGAGAAAGGCCCCCGGCCAAGTACCCAGGTCTATTGGGGTGGGAGCGGGGCAGAGGTCGGGACAGACAGCAGGCTCCAGGTGACGGGGGCCTCCTTGGGCGGCGCAGGGCAGGGGTGCCCCTGCTGCTGTGGAACTAGGCAGGGCTTCCTGGAGGAAGCAGCAACCTAGGGACGGCCAGGAACTTGCTGAGGGAAGGGGGCGGGGCGAGAGGGCCGTTGATACAGCGAAGGCACAGCAGGGAGGTGGGCCTTGGTGTGGTCAGCACGTGGTTCACGGTGGCAGCAGCTTGTTGGTCCCCTCGGGGCAGGGCTGGGCGGATGGAAAGACCCTGTTGTCATCCTAAGGACTTTGGTCTTTATCCTGTGGGCAGTGGCAGTCACTGGACAGGCACGGCCACCATCACTCAGGTCGTCGTAGAGGTCATGGCAACAGAATCCCACATCCGTCCTGGGCCCTTCCAGAGGACTCAGTCTGTGGAACACCTTGACCCAAGGAGCCCGCCTGCAAACCCAGCCCTGCCACGCCCCCGAAGGCCACATATGTGGTGGTGGCTTCCCTGCAGGAGAGGGCAAGGGGGTGGAGGAGAGCGCCGGCATGCCGGTCCTGGCTCTGTCACTGGCCAGCGCGTCTTCTCGTGCCTGACACGCTGAGGGGGTTCCTCCTCCCCACTCCCCACTGCTTGTGCTCAGGGACTCACACTGCTCGTGCTCAGGGACTCACCAAAGAACCATGGAGTATCAGAATCTGGGCCGGTGCCTGGCCTGTTCAAACAGCTGCTGAACGTATGGGTGAATGAATGAACGAATACTTGAATGAATGAATGAATGAATGAATGAAAAGATGAATGCACCGCTATGTGACCTGGAGGCAGGGGTTAAGAACAGGGGCTCTGGAGCCAGAGAGCCTTCACATTGAATCTTGGCTCCCCCACTTACGGCGGCACGACCTTGGCGCACCTCTCCAAGCCTCCGTTTTCCTGCGGGAAACTTGGGGACCCTAGGCCCCCACCTCTCAGGGCGCTGTGAGAATCCCGTGGGGCAGTGCGGGCCTTCCCAGAGCCCCGGCTCGCTATGCAGCAGCCGCACTTGTTATTATTACAAAGGCTCCTCTTCGGGCCCCAGGTCTCCCCTGGAAACACCCTCGTTTTGCTGGGCACGCTACAGTTTACAGAATGCCCTCACAGCAGTTCTTGCTCTCAGGCAGCCGGGGCAGAGGCTGTGAATTTCTTTTCAGAGGGGGCACCTGATGGAGCCTCACCCCCTGGGTGCTCCTGGCCCCCCCCCCGCCCCAGTCCCACCAGATCCTGCTGCAGCGACACTGGAGGACCCGTGGTTTTCCTGAGTACGCCTCCTTCCCCAGGCAGCTCCCGAGAATGGGGTCCACAGCCCCCCAGGCCCCCTGAACCAGTCCTCGCCAGGTGCCTCCTCTGTGCCCAGCCCGAGTTGGGCACTGATGGTGCCGAGAGAAAGCACACCCAGCCCCTGGCCTCGGGCCAACTGCCAGGCCAGGGGAGGCCGAGGTGGGCGTCCGCAGCCCTGGTATTGAGTGATGGGATCGGCGATGGAGGGCCGTGGGTCCCACATCTAGCCAGAGAGAGAGAGAGGGAGGTCAAGGGCGTTCCCGGCAGAAGGCACCCCATGCGCAAAGGCAAGGAGCAGGAACTGGCAGCGGCAATGTGAGTGGCGGCCGTCTCTGCGAGCAGCCCGGCCCCTCCCGACCTCTGGGTGCCTCCTTCGGGCCTTGGCGTGGGGACAGGCTTCCCCGCCCGCCCCTGCGGGGCCTCGGAATCCTCCGATTTCCCGTGCGTGGGCGGCAGATGGACTGTGGCGGCCAAGAGCCTCGGGGAGGAGAGATTTAGTGTGTGTGTGTGTGTGTGTGTGTGTGTGTGTGTGTGTGTTGGGGAGGTTTACGGGCAGACAAGGGGGCCGCTAGGCTGGGGCTGTATCTCGCTGGGTCCCCAAAGGGCAGGCTGGAGTCTGGGTTCCGGGAGGGGGCCCTGGGTCACATCCTGACCCGCGGAGACAGGAAACCAGCCTGGTGTCTCAGAGATTCCCGCCAGGCTGACTGTACCAATCTGTTGTCCTTCTGAAAAGCCCCAGACAGCCGGGCCAGAGCTGAGCAGCCACTGATTCACCCCACTTCTGGGCAATCTCGGGGGGCACGCCACACCCCTCCGCGCCGATGAACCCGCTGGGCTCTTCTTACCCTGACTCACCCCCGGCCCGACGGGCAGGTGAGGCCGCTCAGGCCGGGGGGAGCAGCGGGGGCCCCGAGTTCCTGGGAGGACTGTCCTGGGAGTCCGTGAAGGGGCGTGGAAGGCAGCGGTGCCCTCGGACCTGGGCAAAGGGGTATCCCGCCCGACCCCACCGTTAGTGGCCCTCTCCGACCCCTTCCAGCTGCGGGTGCACGGGACTCCAGAGATCCCTGCCCGAGTGCACGAGCCTACTCCCAGAGGGACACGGGCCGCTTTCCTGTCCCGTCCCCCAGAGGGGACACTGCATGGCTGGTGTGAGCTCCCCTCGACCTGAAGGGTGTCACGGTGACTCCCGGCAGGGGGTGGGCATGGTGGAGCTTGGCATCCGGGACGGGCTGTCCACATGCATCTGTGTGAAGAAAAGGGGTGCGGGCCGGGGCCATGGGCGACCATCTGTGCCCTTGTCCCGGGCCTGTCCGGGGCGGGCGTGGCGGAGGGATGTGGCTGGGGGGTCAGACAGGCTGGGCAGGGCTGCATCTGCTCCCTCACTGCCGCACCCCCAGCGTCCAGCTCTGGTCGGCCTGGTAATAAATACTGGATCGATGGATAGACGGGCGGATAATGGAGGGAAGGAGGAGGAGGAGGAATACATACACAACAGCCTCTGCCCGTTGGCCATCCCCAAGGGGTTAGTGGCGTCACTCTTGTTCGTCATTGGTTGTTTGGGGTGTTCGTCTTGTTCTCTGCCAAGTTCCTGAAGGACAGAGCTGTGCCTTCTTCCCGTTCCCCTTCGAGAGCGCAGAAGCCCTCGCTGGTCCCAGTTCTGGGCCCTCAGATGGGCAAGTGGGGGGATAGGGAGGACATGGGCTGACCAGGGGCCCTCAGCTGGGGAAGGTACCACATCTCTCCTGGGGGTTCTGGAAGCCCATTCTTCTGGCCACTTGGCTGGAGACGGTGACTCCCGGATGTCAAACGCTGGAGCCCTAGGAGACCTGATGGAGCCCCGCAGCCACACTGACCCCAGCGCTTTCCTCCACTGGTGGGGAGACTGAGGCTAGGCGAGATGTGACTGACGCGTGGCCCAGTTCCAGCTGCCCGCTGCCCACCTCTGGCGCTGACCTCCCCAGGTGGAAATCCATGGCTGCTCTGGATGAGTGGGCAATCTGTCATTACCTGGGCACTGGACCACCCACTTTGCAGTCAGGGTCTCACTGAGTCTTCACAAGTCTAGGAAGTGGCCCTGGCCGGCGTGGCTCAGTTAGAACATTGTCCTGTGCACCAGAAGGCTGCAGGTGTGATTCCTGGTTAGGGCACAAACCCAGGTTGCAGGTTCGATCCCTGATTGGGTAGCGTATATGAGGCAACAGGTTGGTGCCTCTCTCTCTCTCTCTCCCTCTCTCCCTCTCTCTCTCTCTCTCTCTCTCCCTCTCCCTCTCTCTCTCTCTCCCCTCCCTCTCTCTCTCCCTCTTCCCCCCTCTCTCTCTCCCTCTCTCTCTCCCCCTCCCTCTCTCTCCCCCCGCCCCCCTGTCTCCCCCTGGCCCCATCTCTTCTCCTCTCTGTAAAATCAGTAAGCTTGACCTTGGGTGAGGAGAAAATAAAAAGCTCAGCTCGTGGGTTCGACTGGATGCATGCGATCCCAGTACGGGCGCATATAGGAGGCGACCAAGCAATGCTTCTCTCTCTCCCTGCCTCTCTCTCTAAAAGCAATGAAAACAATATCCTTGGATGAGGATTAAAAAAAAACAAACAAACAAACTAAAAAAAGCCTATGAGGTGGGCGTATTGTCCAGCCCATTTTCCAGATCAGGAAACCGAGGCCCAGGGTTACCCACAGGCTAATGACTCAGACTGCCTTTGAATTCAGGTCGGTCTGGCTTTGACCCCTTCCCCGGCCACCCGGGCCGCATGTGCCATCTGAGGCTGCCGGGGGTGGACAGAGGGATGTCTGGCTCCAATCGGCCGGCTCCAGTCTGGCCCTAGGAGGGTGGGAGCCGCAGGCAGCCCTGAGGCTCCGTCCTAGAAGAATTGCTGGAAGCCACTTTCTATAAGTGGCTACTAGCGCTCAGGGCCTCCTCACCGAAATCCCCTGTTCCCGCTCCTGACCGCCGGGCCAACAATGGCATCTGTGGGACACTGGCACAAAAATAGCAACATGGTCTCCCGCCCACCCGTCCAGGGTGGGGGCCGGGGCAGACCCAGGCTGACCCGAGTTTCGGAGCTGGAGGTAAGGGGTGGCTGGCCTGCCGGCCCCGGCTGGGCTCTCAGAATTCTCAGGGTGCCTTAGGAACTGGTGGCCCGGGGGTGGGGGGCTAGGCAGGCCCCTCCGTTTGCCTTTGGGCTTCGGGCTGGGAGGGCAGAGGGAAGTCCGTGCGTGTGAGTGACCGTGGTGGTGAGTCAGGGCCCCGGGGTGGAGGCGTTTGCTGTGGAAACCCGGGCTGGGTGTTTCTGGTGAGCAGCCACACGGACTCAGCCGGGCCCGCGGCCTCAGAGACCCCAGAGAGCCCTGCTCTCCAGCCTCCCTGCGTGTCCACGCTGCTGCCCTGCTCTGTGGCCCCAGCCCATGACGACCCCTCTTTGGGCCTCAGCCCCACCCCTTCCAGCCTCCAAACCTGCAGGGAGGGACTTGGTGACAACCGAGCGAGGGTTTGGAGTTCGAGCTCTGGGACAAGAGCAGAGCGTGATGTCCCAAACGTCCCAAAGGTACAGCCTCTGAGTCCTCTCCCCCTCAGCAGGACCCAACCCCGACCTCCACTTCTCTCTGTGACTTGCTTTCCCCAGCGCACCAACCCGGCCCTGCCCCTGTGTCACAGACCGGGCACCGAGGTACAGGGGGACGGGGACATTTGCAGGACAGCGGCAAGAACGGATGTTCAGGTGCCCTCTCTCTGTCACCTGCAGCACTCTGGGCCTGTGGGTGTCCACTTAGGGGCAAAGGGTGGGACTCCAGCCCACGGGGCCCGCCTGTCCGCCCTTGGAGGTCTCGGCGTTGACTCCTCTGGGTGAGGATGGGCCTCGGGGGCAGCTCTGAGAGGAAGGACACGGCCTAGGCGAGCCGCCCAGAGGTCCCACTGGGCGCTGTGGGTGCCACTCCGGCAGCAGGCCGGCATGCACCCGGCTTTGCTGCTCGCCGGTGGCTCCCTTGGCCGCTGCCACCCCCCGCCCCCGCCCCCGAGGCTCACCTGCTGCATCTGTGAAGATAGGAGGACGCCAGACCCCGCTTCGGGGAGAGTGCGGCCAGCACGCCCCGCGCAGGGCCCAGTGTGCGTTAGGCTGGGCTGCGGGAAATTACTGGTATTGAGTTGTGTGTTCAACAGCTTGATTGGGATCAAATGTAACCACTTAAAATGTACCTCAGAGTGGCTTTAGTGCACAGACAGAGTCGTGTGCTCATGTCTGGTCGTTCGAGCTAATGGGACACTCGCAGTCACAGTAAGGAAGCTGGGGTGTGTCCAAGGTCAAAGGTTCTGGCAGGGGTCAAAGGCTCTGGCAGGGCGGCTGTGCCAGGGCCTCTCCCCACACCACTGAGGGGTCTCCCTTCACGTCCATGAACTTCAAGTGGTGCTCACCGGGCCGGAACAAAACGTCTGTTCTAATACTTAGGTTTGTGTTCCATATTTTGCCAAAACATGATATTAAATCCAGTATCATATTTTATCACTTTACTTTTAAAGTGTTGAGAATGCCTATTTTTTTAAAAATGGATGAAACAAGAGATTTCAAATACCCCAAGTTATAAACCCATTAGATAATACTAATTCACAAAAAATAGGAACTTATACAAACATCAACTTTGAATGTTCATTCTACTCTAAATTAGTGTAAAAATAATTCTTCAAAAAATAAGCAACTGAAATAGCTCACTACACTGAAAAACAGTTATTTGGGAAACATGGAAATTCGCTACTTTGTTTTATGGAGCAAACTTGTGAACAGACAGTGTCGTGACTGAGCAACGGAAATATTTCTGGGCAGATTTTTCCAGCGGCCGAAACACTCCGTCTGGCTCCGTGACATCAGCTGGGGACACGGCCAGGGGACAATTAGAAGTCAAATCAAAAAATTTTCCACTGATCTCTTCATCTTGAAATCTCTCTCTCGTTCCTGCTAAGGGTGAGGAGGTGTTGAGGGTCAGGCTTTGCGCCTTGGTAGAGAGAGCCGGCTTCTGAGAGCAGCTGGGGTTACTGTTTCAGCGAAGTGCTTCTCTTCGTCTGGTTCAGAAAGTCTTCGAGCAGAGCAGGCATTCTTTCGACAGATGCGTGGCGCTGGTGCATCACCGTGTTCTTTTCTTCGTGGGAAGCATATACGACTGGGCAGGAGAGTGGCTGAGGGGTGAGGCCTGCCCGGGCCCACTTCCCAAGCTCCCTTCTTACTTGCTGTGTGATCAGGGGCAGATGACTCCACCTCTCTGTGCCTCATTCCCCCATCTGTAAGAGACGATAACAATGGTACCTCTCTCTTAGGGTTGTTGCGAGGATTAAGCGGATCGATAGGTAAAGCGTTGGGAACAGTCCCAGCACGGCACGCAGTGAGCACTATGGAAGTGTCAGGCATTATTACTATTGGTTGTTGTTCTGGAAGCATCCTAAATACATACCCCATTTAACATTCTAATGCAGTAGGCATCTCTCAAGACAAAAATGATCTCAACTTCACATTCTTATAGAATATCAAAGTAATGGTAGTATATCGACAAAAACAGGAGCTTTTAGTACCTTGAGTACAACAAGGCCGACAGGAGTACTGCAGCTGGGGGCGGGGTGGCTGCCTCGATCCCGCTGCACAGGGACAGAGGAAGGCACGGGCCCCTCGCTGGGTCGCACAGACACTTGCAGGCCTGGCGCACAGCAGGTGCTCAACAGAAACGACAAGACTCGATCGGCCCTTGGATCGAGTTCAGGCTCATCACAATGTTTTCTCTTCGCTTTTGGATTTGCTGAGATGAATCTCCTTCACTCATTCAGAAAATGTTTTCTGAGCACCTCCCGAGAGCCAGGCCAGGCGCGGTGCTCCCTGGAAGGCAGCGGTGGACAGACCGGGCGGGGAGAGCGGAGTGGAAGCTTGGGGACGTGGGTGCTCACTGCAGGCCTGGGGGTCTGTCTGATCTGTGTGTGTGTCTGTCCCCAGACCCTCCCCCAGGTTAGTCCGTTGCTGAAGGTGACGGTCAACATGTCCAAGCAAAACGGCATCCAGCCCCGAGAGGTGCTGCTAGTCCTCAGCGTAAACCAGGCCATCTTCCTGCAGCTGCAGGCCCCCGGAATCCCGCTCCACCTGGCCTACGTGAGTGTGTCCCTCCAACCCCGGGCCGCGGCGCTGGCCATGCGAGGGCCCTGCCTGGCGAATCCTGTGGGGCCCTGGCGGAGAGAACCCCAAAGGCATCAGGGTCTGGGAGAAAGAGTTCAAACCCAGAGACAGGATCCAGGCGGAAGGGCAACCCTGGCCAGCTCCATCCTCTCCCATAGCCTCAGTTTCCCCTCCTGTCCAGTGGGAGAATTGGACTCAGTGAAATCCCACAAAAAAATCTTGTTACTGTCTTTGAAAAAGTCATAAGATGTGTGTGGGTTTTTTAAAAGATTTTATTTTTATTTTATTTTTAGAGAGGGAAGGGAGGGAGAAAGAGAGAGAGAGAGAAACATCAATGTGCGGTTGCTGGGGGCCGTGGCCTGCAACCCAGGCATGTGCCCCGACTGGGAATCGAACCTGCGATGCTTTGGTTCGCAGCCCGCACTCAATCCGCTGAGCTACGCCAGCCAGGGAGATGTGTGTTTAATGAGCATATTTAAGTAGGGAGGAAAAGGGTCAGGAGGAAACCTAGCCATGCATTAACAGGAGTGAAGGCGGGGAAGTGGGATTAGGAGAGACACTGATTTTGTTCTTTGCACTTTGTTGATGCCACGAGACTTGCTCTAGTTAACATGGCCTGTGTTAGAGAGAAAATTATTATTATTTTTTAAGATTTTATTTATTTATTTTTAGAAAGAGGGGAAGAGAGGGAGAGACACATGCCGCTCGTATGCCCCCTACTGGGGACCTGTCCTACAACCCAGGCATGTGCCCTGACTGGGAATCGAACCAGTAACCCCTTGGTTTGCAGGCGGGCACTCAATCCACTGAACCACACCAGCCAGGGTGAGAAAAAAAAATTTTTTAAAAATCAAGTTTTAGCCCTGACTGGCGTGGATCAGTTGACTGCAAAGGTGAAAGGTCACCAGTTCAATCCCAGGTAAGGGCACGTGCCTGGGCTATGGGCTGGTCCCCAACTGGGGGCCTGTGAGAGGCAACCCATCGATGTTTCTCTCTCTCATCCATGTTTCTCTCCCTCTCTCCCTTCCTTACCCTCTCTCTAAAAGTAAATACATAAAATTTAAAAGAAAACCTCCAGTTTTAAAGCAGGGACTCACAGTGAGGAGGCTCAGGGCTACTCTTCCACGTGGGAGGCTGCAGGGGGCGACCCCCAGATGGGAGCCGCTGTTGCTTATGGCCAGAGAAAGCAGGTGGGGTTGGGGGGACCGATGGTGGCAAAGACAACAAGGGGGAGAGAGACACAGAGAGAAAAGCGGAGATGAAAAAGGAGGGTCTGTGTGGGAGGGACAGACAGACACTGAGAGGCTGGACACAGAGTCGGGGGCGAGGAGCTGGAGCCCCCAGCACAGGACTGGACCCAGGCTGCCTGGGAGGCAGAGAGAGGTTGAAGGCTGGGTCGGGGATAAAGAGTCCAGACTGGCATCGGGGACACCGCAGAGACAGACAGAGAGGGCCAGCAGGAAGGCTCCTGGAGGGTGGGAGTGCCAGAGGCCAGCCAGGGGGGTGGAGCTGGACAGATCCCATTCAGTACGTCCCTCTGCTCCCAGGGGGGGAAATCGAGGCCCCTTAAAGGGCCAGGCCTGGCCGTGGCTCCTCTTCCTTCTTTCCCATCCCCGGCTCTCAGGAGGCAACCCAGGCCGGGGATCTGGGCCCAGTGAGAGCCCTGAGCTTCCCAAGGGACACAAAACCTGCCCTCTGGCTGAAAGGCCGAAGCAGCCAAAGGCTATGGCTTGGGCCATGCCTTCTCCAGCCTTCCTCCTAGAGCAAAGAATACGGGGTGGGAGAGGGGACAGTAGCGGAGGCACCATTGGAGCCTCCCTCAGCCTGGGCCTGCAGCTCCCTGGTTGCCACTGTAGGGGCCACAGCCTGGCTGGGGGCTTGGGGCTCTGGGCCAGACCCAGTGCCGGGCAAATGGCAAACACCTTGCCTTTTAATCCCTGTTACATCCCCACTTTGCAGACCATGGCTCTGAGGGCCAGAGCTGGCGAAGTTCCTCCTACCCTCACCAGCTCTAAACCACGGCCCCACCCCTTCCGCCATGGCTGGCTTCCTCACCGGAGAGCACCTCACTTTAACCCCTCGTTAAAGCCCTGCCCCATTTGAGGCGGACCCTTCTGTGGTGTCTTGCCTACTTCCACTGTCAGGGAGTCCCCCTGCGTGTCTAGCCTGAGACCCTTGTGCTGCTTCGGTGCCATGTCCTTGGCTTTGGCAATGGAAAGCAAAGGAACTCTGAGTCCTAGTCTCCAACAGCATCCTCGGACTCCTTTGGCTTCCACAGAGCACCTCCAGCAGGAAGCCTTCCCGGCTTCCTTCCCTCCAGCCCGCGAGGGTCTCTCCTGAGCCTGGGCAGAGGGGACAGCGCGGTGTGGAGCCGTCTGAATTCCCATCCCTGTCCATCCAGAGGACCTGTCCTGCTTGCTCCTTTGTTTCTTATTAAAGAATATCTTCTGTTTTCTGCTGTTTCAAATGCCTTTTCATTCATTCACTTATTCCTCCATTTCTTCTTCCCTCCCTTCCTCCCCTCCCACGTGCCAGGCATCAGGGTGAAGCTGGCATGTTAGGCCCCTGAGCTCCGGGCCTAGGACCTGGCGCCAAGTCAGACAAACACTCCCCAGTGCCTACTATGTGTTGAGCACCGTGTGGGGATGGGCAAGGCAGACAATTGTCCCTCACATATCCTTAGAGTGCGGGCGACACAGACAGTAGCCCCCTGATGTCATGAGTGTGAGTGCAATGAGTGTGACTAGGGAGGGGTGGGGCAGTGATTTGGGGGCAGGTAGATGAACATGGATGTGTATCCATCCAGCCCCCGAGGTGTCGAAGGGAGATGGGGCAGGTCTGGCCCTCGGGGGCCCTAGCTAGGGGGCTCTGGGCTGACTTCAGATCTACCAGTCTCAGCATTCCCGGCTCTGGCTGTCTCCGCACAGCGCGCCAGCTGCCTCTCCACATTTGCCTCCTGACCCACTGCATGGGGCAGGGGGCTCAGGCCCAGGAATGACACCCCGAGCCTCTGTGTGTCTCCTCAGGGCCCCGGCTACGTCTTCTACGGGTCTCTAGGAGTCGACAGCATACACCTTCAGAACATCACCACCAAGAACCAGTTCCTCAGCTGGGCAGGTGCGAGAGGTGCCATTGCCTCTGTGGCCGAGCTGAATGACCCCGAAAGCATCATCCTCCATCTGGACCCAGGTCAGCTTCCCCAGCAGCTCCTCTGGGCTCAGGACCTGACTTCCTCTGGCCCATCCCTCAGATGCGGACACTGAGCCTCCTGGGGGCGCGGTTTGCCCCAGATCCCAGAGAGCACGTTAATGCTTTATTGGGACAGTAGTTCCCTCTTCGCTGAATATTAGTCTGAACCACATGAAATTGCTACTTGTCAGTTTTTTGACCCAGAAAAACAGCACATTCATATGATTTATTGTGCACCTACTATGTGCCAAACCCTATGCTAGGCATTTGAGGACTCTGTGGGGACAGGCCCAGTCCCTGCCCTTCTGGAGCTGACACTGGTGGGGAGATGACAACAAGCATGCACGCAGATAAATGAGTTACAGAATCGCAGGGCACGGTAGATGTTGTGAGAAAGATACAAGGGGGGTGAGATGCTGCTGGTTGCAGAGCTTCGTCCCTGATGGGTGCCACGGTCACCCTTTATGCGAACCCTGTGTTGACAGAGGAGGAAACAGAGGCCGGGGGACTTGCATGAGTCACTCGGCAGTAAGTGGTGGAGAGGGGATTTGAACCGAGGTCCTCTCCTGCCCCTCACTTCTGGGCTGCTCCATGCTGCCCGCCCCACCTGGAGAATGGGTAAGGGTGAGTCTCTGTGTGAGGTGGCAGGCTGCTCGGGGAGCGGACTGAGGTACGCTTATCTCCGCAGCCCCGAGGTCGCCACCCCCCTGCAGTCCAGAATCCCACAAAGATATGGGCGACACGCTCGAGTGGCAGCCACGCACTGGGGCCTTGGTCCAGGGCTGCCGCTTGGAAGGTGTGGCGGGCCACAAAGAGGCGCACATCGTGCGAGTCCTGCCGGGCTCCGAAGCCAGGTAAGAGTACCTGCTCCCGCCCCCAAACCCCGCCCCGTCGGCACCCTTAAGCCCCGCCCTGTCCAAGCCTCAGCCCCGCCCCTGACCGGGTAGGAGTGTAGTTGTTCTCATCAATCTCTGCGCCCCGCCCCTGAACTCAAACCCCGCCCATTTCCACGTCTACACCACACCTCCACATCGCACCGAGTAATGGCGCAGCCACTGCTATCCAGCTCAGATCTCCCGCCGCCCCAGCCAGTGGCCGTCTGGCGCTGCCCTGCCCCGCCTTCCCGCCAGCAGGCGCTGACCCCGCGCGCTGTTTCTCTGCAGGTCCCGGACGGTGAACGTGAAGGTGGACTTGAGCTGCACTTCAGGGAGCCCCGAGGCGGTGCTCATCCTGCAGGGTCCACCCTACTTGTCCTGGTTCATCGACACCAACCACACCATGCAGATCTTGGTGAGCTTTGCTCCGTGACCCAGACAGCCCCGCGAAGGCCCCCCGAAGCTCGTGAGAGAACCCAAACGCCCCGCAGCAGCACCCCTGCGCTTTTTCACGCAGTGATGATACTTTGGCCCCACTCTTATCCTCTGTCCACCACCTATTCTTCAGACTGGCACCTAGCTGCCACCTCCTCCAAGAAGCTTCCCATCATCCCCCAGAGAGGCCCTTAACCCAATCCTCAGGGTCAGGGAAAGTTCCTAGAGAAGCGAGCCCCACGCTGAAATGAAGGGTGAACAGGTGCCAGTGGAGAAAGAGGCGGCCCAGGCAGAAGTAACAGCAAGAGCCAGGGGGACCGCAGCCCTGAGGGCCACGGCGTCCCGCCCGGTCCAGGCTGCGCGCCCCCTGACCGGCTCCCCGCTCTGCCTGTCTCCCCGTCATCATTAGACCACTGGTAAATACTCCTTCAAGATCTTCCCCGAGGAAAACAAGAGTGAGGTCGATCTCCCCGACTCGCGCGAAGGCCTGCTGGGAGAGGCCCGGAGGCTCAACGCCAGCGTGGTGGCGTCCTTCGTGGAGCTCCCCCAGGCCACTGCCATCTCTCTCCAGGCCAGCCGCTGTGGTGAGCGCCCGGCCCCCTTCCCTGGCCCTCCTGCCTGCCTCTGTCCTTCCCTTGGGTCAGTTGCCACAGTATGCAGTGTGCCGAACACCACCGCACGACTGCCTGTGTTTGGTGGGGGGCCCCCCAGCCTGTGGGAGCCCCATTTCCCTCCTCTGCAGCCTCTGCAGCAGGGGGAGCTGGGCCGTAGCCAGCTGTAGACGCGCTCGGTGCCTGGCACGCCACAAGCCCTCAGCGGCTGTCCAGCTGGCTCACCTCTGCTACCCCACAGGCAGTGGGCTGCCAGCCTCGCCCACACCCACCAGGACCACCCCTCCCAGGGAGAGCTGCAATCCGGAGCTGCTCATGACGCTGCTGCAGCCCAAGTGCACCAATGGCACCATGACTCTGGGACTCAATAAAGACTACATCTTGGTAAGGGAAACCCTACCCCTCTGGCCCGGCCCCACATGGGCAAGCCGGTTCCTCTGCTAGTCTGAGAGTCTTGGGCTCCTCACCCTGGCCGGGGAACAGATTGCATCCCTCTGCAAGCTTTGGTTTTCCCACCTGCAAAAGGGGGTTGAAAAGGGTGCCCACCTTGTGGTGAGAGCGAAGTGAGGGCTGGTGCGCTGAGCCAGGTGTGTGCTCAGTAAGTGCCCGCCAGCTACGAGGTGGTGGTCGTGATTTGGCCCAGCTGCGGGCGGGGCTGGGTGCTCACCCACCTTACCTGCACCATATTCCTGTCTCATTGAAGAACAAAGGTATTTATTATCAAAATAACACAGGCTTTTCTTCGTTAATGTGGATAAGTTAGAAAAGAAGCAAATCTCAATCCCTCCACCCAAAGATGATGGCTGCCAGCATGTTGGTTTGTTTCTTTCTAGAGTGTTTTCCCTGTGTCGGTCTTTGGTTTGTTCGTATGTTTGTTTGTTTTTTAAAGAATGTTTTATTGATGATGCTATTACAGTTGCCCCATTTTTTCTCCCCTTTATTCCCCTCCGCCCCGCACCGCCTCCCTCTGTGTAAGTCTTACGTGGCGGAATCGAATGCACCTGTCTGCCTCCAGCTGTAGCCACTTAATGTATTTTTAGAACTCTGACGTCGGTGCTTAGTATCACGTTGAATGAGCATGTGTTCTTCCCTCCTGTGGGCGGGCCATCATGAACTCCTCCCGTGTTATCCATTGCCTTTGTTTCCAATTCTGCAACATTATAAATATGCAGAAAATGTCATCGTGCATGATAAACTTTTTTAAATATGGGATTATTTTCTTAGGATAGATTTCCATGTTAGTGAGACTGCTGGGTCAAAGTGAGTGAACTCTCTGGAAGTTCTGATACATGCTGACGACCCACTCTCCAAAAGACGATTCCCGTTTTTACTGAGGATTTGTGAGAGTGCTGTGACGTTCTCTCTCTCTTTAGGCTATTATTATTTTTTAAAAGAGTTTATTTATTTATTTTTAGAGAAAGGGGGAGGGAAGGAGAGAGAGGGAGAGAAACATCAATGTGTGGTTGCCTCTCGCAAGCCCACTACTGGGGGCCTGGCCCGCAACCCACGCATGTGCCCTGACTGGGAATCGAACCTTGACCCTTTGGTTCATGGGCCCGTGCTCAATCCACTGAGCCACACCAGCCAGGGCTAGGCTATTTTTTTGTTGTTGTTTTAAAACACTGTTGCCCGTGTAGGAGGTGGCACGTGGTATTCCCTTCTGGTTTTAACTTACTCTTCTTTGCCTAGAGGTGAGTGTGGGCGTGGCCCCACATGACTGATAGTCTAAGGCTCTTGATCCCTGGAGCTTGGTATTTTTCTTGATGATTTTTAGAAGCTTTTTACATAAAGAAAATTTTGGCCCTTTGTCCTTCTTTTTTTTTTTCCATTTAAGATTTTATTTATTTATTTTTAGCAAGTGGGGAAGGAAGGGAGAAAGAGAGGGAGAGAAACATCAATGTGTGGTTGCCTATTGCATGCCCCCCACTGGGGACCTGGCCTGCAACCCAGGGATGTGTCCTAGTCTGGGAATTGAACCGACAGCCCTTTGGTTTGCAGGCCGGCACTCAATCCACTGAGCCACACCAACCAGGTGTCCTTCATTCTTATCAAAATAATTTCTCCTGGTTTGGTATAGTTCTTGACATTTTTGCTACAGTGGTTTTTAATTTTTGGATATTTGAAAACACTGGGCCCTTCCAGCTGCCTGTCTTCCCCTTCGGGATAGCTTCTGGCGTTTCTGAGGCGAGAAATCTTGCTGCTGGAGCCTCGACAAATCACCCATGTTCTCAGGGATTTCAGAACGACATTGAACTCTGGGGTTCATTAAGTCCACATGGGAGTTTTTTTGGGGCGGGAGATACAGGGGCCTGTACGAAGCCCCGTCTGTTACCCCGGCCTGAGGGGCCCGGAGGAGCCCACCGTCGCCCACCCGTCTCTGGAACATTGCCCTGCACTAGAAGAACGTGCCGGCTCCATAAATGCAGACGCAGAAAGATGCACATGATCGATCGTTCAGGGAGAAAACTAGGCTACCTCATGAAAGACAAGTACGATGCCGCTTCTTAAGAATATTTCAAAAATCCACACATTCCCTCTGAGCACATATGTCTGTGCAGAAGAAGACAGAAAGAGGGGAGTCTGAGCCCCAGACACGCGGCTGCAGCCTCTCATCAGTTCATGGAAGCGGTCGGTGTGCAGAACCTGCCTCCGGGGCCCCTGACGCTGCGGCTTTGCCCAGTGCAGAGCCATTGCCATTTGGTGGGCTCGTGTCTCTCAAGGGGGCCCTGGGCAGCGGGGGGCAGCCTTCTGGAGGAGTGGATGTGAGCCGGCTGCACCCAAGTGGGACCTCCAACAGCCCACTCGTCCCTAGGACTGAGATTCTTTTGAACTTATTAGTGTGAGAAATTCTAAGATTTGATTCTTCTAAAACAGGAGATGGCAAACGAGGGCTCACTGCCTGTTTTTGTAAATGGAGTTTTATTGGCCCTGGCCAGTGTGGTTCAGTAGGTTGGGCATCGCTCTGCAAAGCGTAAGGTCACTGGTTCGATTCCCGGTCACGGCGCGTGCCTGGGTTGTGGATTTGGTCCTGGGTCAGGGTGCTTGCGAGAGGCAATCAATTGGTGTTTTCCTTCACATCGATGTTTCTCTCCCTCTCTTTCCTCCTCCCTTCCCTTCTCTCTAAAAATAAAGTTTCACTGGCTCACAGCCATACCCATGTTTACATCATGTCCATGGCTGCTTTGAGGCTATGAAGGTGACGTTGAGTGATTACAACAGAGACCACATGGTCTGCAAAGCCTCACCCGGCATTGACTATCTGGCCCTTTAAAGGGAGCATGCTGCCCACAGGTCCAGGAGTCTGGGCTTCTGAGACGGGACCGTGCTGGCGGGGTCTGCGTGCCCCCGGGGCTGTGCATGATGATCGTAGGTGGAACTCAAATGAACTTTTAAAGTTTAATGGTTCTGCATTTACTTTAACATATATTAGAAGAAAAAAACAATACGTAGTAAACCAAACTCATGATGTCTCAGATTTTATTGCTTAAGGCAAGGTTAAGTACAAAAGCGAGTCAAGGTCAGGAAACGTATTATTGTAAGTGGTGTAGGTTGACAAGATCTAGCAGAAGTGGACAGGGGAGCAGGAGAATGCCTGTGACCCCGGGGGGTTACCACCAGTCCTTGGTGCTGGGTGGCGATGGGCAGGCGCCGGGCACCTGGTGCGTCCTGACGGCGCCCCCGCCCCCGGCCTAGAGTTTGAGCTGCAACATCATCAGCCTGACCTTCTGGGACTCCAGCTGCCAGGCTGAGGACACAGGCAACCAGTTCATCTTACACAGCACCTACTCCAGCTGCGGCATGAAAGTGATAGAAAATGTGATCAATAATGAGGTAAGAGCTGGGGCGGGAAAGGTAACAACAGCCTGGTTGCTGACGCCCCTCAGATGCCTGCTTGATCTTCCAGGCTGAGGGGCCCTAGGGAGGGTGGGGAGTGGGGCCCAGCAGGAAGACAAGATCGGGGTGGCCATGGCTGCACCCCCCAGTCTATAAGAAGGGTGCATTGGGCGGAACACTCTCTGGGGTCATTGCTGGCTCTCACCAGCTCCTTGGCTCTCTTCCTGCAGGTGATCATCAACTTCCTGTCAAGCCCGTCGCCGATGCGGGTGAGATGGGTGGGCGCTGTGCTGACACATCCGGTCCAGGGCCCAGGGGTCCCTTTTTGGCCCGGGAGGGAGCAGGCCTCTGGAAACCCAGACCCTGGTCCGGGCCTGCCACGTGTCTCCAGAGTGGCTCAGCCTCCCCTCTGTACCGTGGGGACAGTGCCGTGGAGGGCTGTGTTCTCAGCCTCTTGCACCGGCAGCTTCTAGTGCGTGCTGGCTGTGAGGCCCTGGGCAAGTCACTGAAGCTCTCTGGGCCCCGAGAGAGCAGTGGCACCAGCAAGGATCCCCCCGGGGGTGCTTATGAGCAGACCCTGATGTGACACAGGGACAGCACTTTACCCTAGCCCAGTGCACAGTGAGTTCTGGATAAATGTTAGTTTGGGTTTGTTTTTGCTTTTAAGGTGAGGATGAGGGTCAGGCAACTCCGCTGGACCATGACCCCTGCTCCCACCCCTCCCCTCCCCTTCCTGGCCAGACGCCTCCCAGGCTGACTGAGCTCCTGCCCATCTCCCACAGAAAAAGGTGCAGTGCGTCGACATGGACGGCCTCTCCTTGCAGCTGGGCCTCTACGTCACCCCGCAGTTCCTCCAGCCCTCCGACACCATCGAGCTGGGGCAGCAGGGCTTCGTGCAGGTACTGGACTAGACCTCCCAGCACTGCCAGCTCCTGGGATTTCTCAGAACCTTTCTCCCCACCGCTAGTACAGAGGAGATGAGCCTTGAACTTTCCAGGGCAAGGAGGGAGCCGGCATGGTGCATGATGGGAGGGAGAGAGAGAAAAGGCAGAGCTCAGAGACACTGATCGGAATGTCACCTCCTCCTCCCTGCAAGCCCTTGATGGTCCCGCTCTCTGGGCTCAGGGGCAGAAACTCTAGAATGAATCTGGATTATTTCCTGAGAGCAGGCAGGGTGGAGGGTCAAGAGGAACCACCCACGCCTCACCCCCCTTGCCCACTCTTGCAGGTGAGCATGTCTCCGTCAATCCCCGAGCTCACCCTCACACTGGACAGCTGCCAGCTGGACTTGGGGCCCGAGGCGGACGCTGTGGAGCTCATCCAGAGCGAGGCGGCCAAGGCCAGCTGTGTGAGCCTGCTGTCTCCGAGCCCCCGTGGTGACAAGCGCTTCAGCTTCCTCCTCCGTGGCTACATGGTGCCCACCCCCAAGGCTGGCATCCTCAACTGCTCCGTCTACCTGTTTCTTGGTTCTTGGAGTCAGGTGAGTAGGGCCTGGGCCAGGCCCAATGTCAAGGGCGGCTTTTTGGGTCTGGGAGTTTCAGGAACCAGCTGGCAAAGGGCAGAGTCAGTCAGCTTCCAGCTCCCAGGGGTTCCCTTTCTGCCACCCTACAGCCTTTGATGGCTCTGCTGTGTCTTGGACATTGGTCGGATATGTAGCTGCACCTGTCCATCCGTCCATCCCACCCAGTCTCATTCATCCACCCTCCTCCCGCCGTCCCAGTCACCTGTGCACTCCCCCGCAGGAAGTACCATCACTAGTGCAATCTCTGCCAACAGGAGAGAGACCTCAGGGCGGAGGGTTCGGATGGAGGCGATGGCTTCTGATTGCCTGCATTTACTAGTCACGTGTGTCCCTGCCCAGTGGCCCTCTGCTCTCAGGCACTCAGCCCGGGGCACACGGCCAGCGCCAGGCCCTTGCACACGGAAGGGTCTCTGGTTGTTTGAACCCAGAGAAGCCACTGGGGCCGCTCCCGGGCAGGCCCCCTCCCTCCCGCCACAGGGAGCCGGGCCTCTGGGATAAGCTGGCTCGTCTTCCCAAGTCCTTCGCCAGGGTAATGGATGCATGCGGCGTGCACCCGCAATCCTCATGGGAGTCGGGGGCCTCCCGGGAGCCCACCGGCAAGTCCAGCAGCAGCCAGGGCCTGGCTCCCCACGCCCGTCCACGGCTTGCACCTCCCAGGACTTGCTCCAGGGCTCCCGGCTAGAAAGTGGTGGGACAAGACGCCGAGGCCCCAGGGTGGGCAGGGACTGGGTCAGAGAGCCAGGGAGCAAACCCGAAAGCCTCCTCTCAGAGGCAGTGCTGCACACACTGCTCTCTTCCTCCCGCAGAAAATCTACAGGACCGTCACCATGCGCCTGAACGTCATCAGCCCCGGCGTGTCTGGTGAGCTCTCCCAGGGTCTCCCTGGGGCCCCAGTGGTTGGCAACAGATGGCCCAGAGGGACTGGGGCCTAGGTTCCCAGCAGGGAGGACCCTAGAGAGAGCAGCCCTGGGCGGAGGGCAGGACAAGGGCTTCCCAGTGGCCTGGAGTAGGATCCACAGCTGCGTCTTCTAGAAGGGAGAGCTTTTGCTTACGATGCCCCTGTGGGGGGGATTCCAGGCCTTTGGCTCTTCTCGATTCCCGTGGCTGCTGGCCAACCTCATGAGGGAGATGGCCCACACCAGGTCTGGATGGGCTGGCCGGCACCTGGGGCAGGGCGGGGCTGGCCTCACCCTGAGGCCCCCCGGAGTGGAGGACGCTCCTTCCACCTAGCACCCTGCAGCCTCTGTTAGTTCCCTCTGGGCCCGGGCCTCCACCGGGCGGAAAGTCCCTCACACTGGAAGCTGAGGTGGGGTCACCTGCCTTTTGGCCCCCCAGCCTTGGACAGGATGGAACTCCCACACCCAGCTCCCGCCCGGGAGAGAAGGGCTCATCGCCCCTTGGCAAGGATAGGCACGCAGGGCCGAGGGGAGGCCGCCTGGCCCGCACTCACATGGGAGCCAGCGGTGCGGAAGGCACGGGGCTTGGGGAAACCCCAGGGCAGAGCTGGAGAGCCCCCAGAGGGGCCCCGCCCGGCCCTACTGTGGTGCAGGGCTCACGGGGAGCAGGCAGTGGCCGGAAGTCGAGCAGCGAGGAGGCCCCACTCACGTTTCGCTCAGACTGTACCCCCCAGCCACCCTGACGCGCACCTCCCGCAGCCCTGGGAGGCAGAGGCGCGGCCCCGGCGGTCTGGCTCGGCCCTCGCGGCTGCCGGTCCCGGCAACCACAGCTTCCTGCCAGGCATGGGTGTGGCGCACCCATTTGCTAGATGACGAGACTGAGGTCCAGGGAGGTCAGGGCAGTGGGCGAGCTGGGACTCACACCAGAACCTGTGCTCCTGGCCGGCCCAAGAGTAGGGGGCCAGGGAGGGGGCCAGGGAGGGGGCCACAGCACTGACTGCGGCTGTCCCTCCCTCGGCTGCCCAGGCCACACCCTCGTCCTGCCCGCCGTGCTGGGCATCACCTTCGGCGCCTTCCTCATCGGGGCCCTGCTCACCGCCGCGCTCTGGTACATCTACTCGCACACACGTGAGTACCCCAGGTCCCCGCCACCAGTGCTCAGGACCCCTCTGCCACCCCCCCGGGGGAGCCCAGCGGAGCCTCTGGGGGAGTGGGGAGCCCTGGCTGGGGCCCTGACCTCCGCCCCTGCCCCCAGGAACCCCCAGCAAGCGGGAGCCCGTGGTGGCGGTGGCTGCCCCGGCCTCCTCAGAGAGCAGTAGCACCAACCACAGCATCGGGAGCACCCAGAGCACCCCCTGCTCCACCAGCAGCATGGCGTAGTGCCCAGCCTGGAGCCCTGGGAACCACCCAGCCAGCCCTTGCCCAGCCGGAGAGACTGAGCAGCCACCAGCTGGGAACCACTGGTCATGAACTCGCCCTGTGGCCCCAACCCTTCCACTCGACCGAGGACGGACCGTGCCCACCGCCTCTTTCTCGGGGGCCTGCTGCCAGCGCGGGCACCAGCTCGGAACGCCTTGGGGTCACCCCACCCCACCCTGCAGAACCTTCAAACTCAGTGGGCCTAGGGTACGGCTGCCCAGGACCCCAGAGTGACAGAACACTGCCCTGTATGTCCACGTTGTTATAGAAACACAAATCCGTTATTTTAACCTGGACCCAGCCCTCGACGACCTGGGCAGGGCTGGAGGTGAAAACTCAAAGCAGACTGCCCGGCCCACTCGGACCCAAGGTGCCGCCGCCGTGACCAGCGAAGAACCGCCGGGATCGGACCCCAGCAGCACAGCTTTGGACTGACGCAGCTTTGGGGTGGGGGGAACCGGCGCCTAGGGATGCCCAGCCTGGGAACAGGGGAGCCTAGCTCCTTCTCGCAACTGTCACACGGGGACCCCTTCCCTCCTAGCCCATCGGGAAGGCAGCAGATAGGAGTGGCCAGGCTGCCTGACCTGGGTCCACCCCTATATACTCACCACCAATAAATCAGACCATGAAACCAGTGTTGGGCTGGGAGAAGGGAAGGGGCACCTACAATGCAGGGGGAGTGGGTGACAGCTCTGGGTTCGAATCCCGGACCTGCGACTTAACGGGCTGGGTGACCGTGGGCAGGTCCCGTGGCTGCTTTAAGCCGGCCACGATCCCCCAGTCGGTAAAGCGGGGGTGAGAATTCCCGACCCCAGGGCCTCCGCGGGGGGGTCTGCAAGGCAGCGCCCGGTTTGTGGTCCGCAGACATCCGGCCAGTTTTCTCCTTCCACAGATGGGCCACCGGAGGCTCAGAAGGTCCCAGGCCACCCACCTGGGATCCCACACAATCTAGTTCCTGTACTACTACGGCCCCCGTCCCCCTGTTGTCTGCAGAGGGAGCTGGAGGTCAAAGGTTAAATCAGACATTTTGCTTTTTAACTTTTTTTTAAAAAGATAAAGCCTTTAATTGAATCCAGCCGCCCGGTCCCCAGGCACGGACCCTCTCTTGCTCCAGAAGGCCACTGAGGGGAGGAACCCTGTGGACCCACACCAGGAGGAGCCTGGGCCTGGCCAGGGCGCAGTCTGGATGGGAGGGGACGGGCTGGGGTGTCAGGCCTGGGACCCCAACAGGAGGACTCGGGAGGCCTCTGGCTGCCTCAGCAGGGAGGAAGGAGAGGCCAGGCGCACCCCAGGCTGGGAGACAGCATGTCTATCTCAGCCTCTCAGCCTCCTGCCCACCAGCCATCCCCTTCACCGCCGGAGCCTGAGTCCCTGGGGCAGCCTGGGCAGACTCGGGGAGGCAGGAAACAAAAGGTGCCTAATAATGCAGGAGTCCAGGAGAGAGACTGGGGCAGGTGTGGGAGGCCCCACCCCCAGCCCCACTGCCGGGGCTACTGGGACAGGGAGGGCTCCAGCAGCTTCAGGGCGCCGCCCACCAGGTGCAGGCTCCCGGTGACCAGCACGTGGACGGCAGTGGCCTCATGGAGCACTCTGGCCCCGCTGGCTGCCACGGGGTGGGCGAGAAGGCCCTGCGGGGGACTGGGTGTCTGAAAGACCGGGTCCCGGCCCTGACTGATCCACTGCAGAGCGTGGGAGATGCAGCTGAAGACGAGGGAGCTGGTGCTGTGGGTGTGGGGAGGGCGGGGTGCCAGGAGCAGGGATCCAGGCCCCACAGGCTCCAGGCCGGCCGGCTCCTCGTGCAGGCGGCCCCAGTGCTGCTGGTGCTCCAAGCAGCGGAGCAACACCTGGTCCAGGGTCACCATGAAGTTCTGCTGGTCTGCGGGACACACGGGTGTGCATGTCAGCGAGGGGGAAGGGCAGGCACGCCGCGGACACCTGCCTAGTTCAGGCCCTTTGCACGCGCCGTCAGTCCTCAGCGAATGCTACGAAGAAGACGGGGCTCAGGGACTTGCCCGGTGCCTCCTGAGCTGGCGACGGCCAAGCCAGGCAGTTCAGCGTCAAAGCTGGGGCTTTTGCACCGCCCCCCAGCCTCAGGGCTCCCCTCTGTAAAATGGACAAGGTCTATCATTGCCGGGCGTGCAGAAGCATTTCTGGAAACACAGACCCCCGGACTCTCCCCAGAGAGTCTGATGTGGGGCCTGGGGAGCTCTGTTTTTCACATCGTCTCAAATGTTCGTGAACAGGACCCACAGGAAAAAACACACTTCGCAGTGGCAACCCAGTCCTCACATACGTGCATATGCAAGCATCTGGAACAGGAGCTTCGTGAAACAGCACCCGCCCTTACTTCGTGCAACACACAGACACTCTCTCCTCTACTCCAGTTAAAATAAAAAATGCTGGTTGAGGCCCACTAAACTGATTTTAAGAACCATCAGTAGGCTTTAACTTGCATTTTGAACAATGTTTTCCCCCATAATTCCTTTTTTAGTAGTACAGTCACATGCAAAACTCAAAAGGTACCCCAGGATGTTCATACAATAAGGCGAACCTAGGTCCTTCCCTAGGCTGCCAGTTCAGGAGGTCTCACGGTCACCGGCAGGGCCGGCCGACCCCTCGGGGCCCTCCACACCCTGCCCACCGCAGGCCACCACGCCTGTCACCTCTCACCTGCGTTGTCCATGGGCGACACCTCTGTCAGGTTAGGGCAGAAAACAGCATAGTCAAACTGGCAGGGCTAGAAGGCCAAGGGATAAAGCTTGGTATCCGAGCCCTGAGAGGGTGCCCCCCACCCCATCTTCCACATGGCACCCTGGGGCCCATACCCCCTGTCTCTGGAGATGCCCCCACTGGCATGATGCCTCAGGTCTTCAGCTGTCCCACCCCCCCCATCTACCACACTGCGCCCTGCCAGGCCTGTGCTCTGGGCAGCCCACTGTGCGGATGGGGAAACAGAGGCTGGGGGCAGGGGTACAGCTTAAGGTCCCCCAGCCACTGAGTTGGCTCCAAATCCAGGAATGAGCCCCGTTCTACAGCCGAGGAAAGGAGGCTCCGGGGTGAAGGCACCACTGGGGGCAGGGCCTGTCACACAGCCCACCTGAGACCCGGGCTGCCTGTCGCCCAGCCACCAGCCAGCCTCTCACCTGCAGCAGCTTCAGCAGGGCGGCAGCATCCCGGTCCCCGGTGGAGTTGAAGAGCAAGATGCACACTTCAGACCCTCTGCGGGAGGAGTGAGGGGGCGGGTAAGAGCAGACCTCCCACCCTTCCTCCGGAAACTTCCTTCCTCCCTAGAGGTGGCTGACCCCGCCCCATCCTTCCCCGGGGCCCCTCCCCTCCCACATCCTCCCCGCCCCAAGCTCACTTGCTGGGCCTCTCCAGGCGCTGCAGCGCGTGTCTGAACCAGCGTACGCAGGCTTGCATGCTGCTGCAGGTGTGCGCGCCGTCCAGGTACCAGGTGAGGGACCCACGCCGCAGCACCTGCGAGCGGCCCAGCCACTCCGTGCCTTGAAGCCCTGGGGGTGGGAACCAAGGCAGCTCCTAGCCATTGCCACGGGGAGGCCCTCCCACACCCTCTCCCCACTCGAGTCCCAGACTCGCACACATAACCCGCCCACAGCGCCCCCGTCTGGGCGCTCTGGGGAGCTGATCAGCCTGGGAGCCCATGACTGGGTGCCAGTCAGTGGGGTAAACTCTTCTGCTGCCTCATCTGGTGGAATCTTCTAGGCAGCCCTTCACTCAGAGAGAGATTAGGTAAGAGAGCAAGGGATTTGGGGCTGGGTTGTAGTCCAAGATCTGCCTGGCTCCTGGGCTGTGTCTCAGCCCTGACACGGGGCCTGGCACACTGGGACCATTTGCTGAAGCCGTCTGACAGCCACGAGCACCTACTATGTGCCCAGAGCTTGGGGGAAGCAAGAAGCCTGACAGTATCACCATTCCCAAGGACCTCGTGGCCTGATAACGGTGATGAAAACACGAGTGGCAGTAACGGCAGCTGCCCGGGCCGGGCACCTCATCCCCGACGTGCCAGGCCCCGGGCGCAGTCCCTTGGTGGTGTCACCTCACAGCGGGTCCCATCATCATCATCTCATTTGGCAGGCGGGGAGACTGAGGCTCACAGCGACTTCACGAACTCCAAGGCAGGGAAGCTTACTGACTTCGGAGTCCTTTCTCTCGGGCACCCCATCCAGCTGCCCCCGCCCCTCAAAGAGGAAACCGAGACGCCCGGAGGGACTAACTCACCGAGCCGCATGTGGGGTGTGGGCTGGAACACGGGCGCCAGCGGCAGCTGACCCAGGGGGCTTGGCCTGGACGCTTTCAGCTCCCCGATGCCTGGGGGGCAGGGGGGCCGTGTGGGACCCAGTGGTCTCAGCACCCTCGGAGGCAGGCTCCTCGCGTCCCCTGCCCACCAGCTGGCCCACTTACCTTGGTGGTCCTTCCGCTGCAGCCAGCAGCGGGCCAGCTGCAAGGCCAAGGCGGCATTGGACCGCTGGTGTTCTCCCTCCAGGCCCAGGGTCAGCGGGGGGCCTCCTTCCTCCAGGGCTTCCAGCGGTGGACACAGGTAGAGGGGACACTGCAGAGGAGCCGGGAGCCCTTCCTGATGTCATCAGCCCTCCCCTGCTTCCCCGCTGACCAGGACCTGCCCAGCCCTGCTCCTAGAACCAAGACGTGCTCCGGCCGGGCGAGCGGCTGGCCCGCGAGGAACAGAGGAGCGAACTGAAGCCCCGAAGGATAAAGCGGCTCCCAGCCCTCCCGGTCGGACTCACGGAGATCTGCTCCGCACGCTCCCTCAGCACCGCCAGGGGGCCGTCCGGCTGGAGCACGGTGAAGGCAGGGACGCCGTGCTGTGGAGGACCCGGAGAGTGAGACAGGCGGCCGGGGGTCCTCCGCCTCTGCCCCCACAGCCCCACGGGAGCCCCTCCACGGGGACACTGAGGCCGCAGATGAAGCTCGACTTGCTCCAGGCGCATGCAGAGCTGAGACAAGCACCCGGACCCCACGGATGCCCCAGACCTCTCCTGCGTCGGGTACAGAGGACCCTGCCCCAGCCCCACCTCCCTGAGCCGTAAGGGAGGGGAGGTACGTGGACAGCCTGGGGCCGCCTGGTCACCTTGAAGATGCCCCCCTTCTGCCACGCGATCTTCTCCATCGTGTCCCCCAGAAGGCTGGTGTGGTCGATGCCAAGAGCGGAGACCCCACACACTACGGGCTTCCTGCAGGAGACCAGAGTGCCGTGACGCCCCTGCCCTGGACCACCGGGGCTCGTGGCCGCCGTCCCTCTGCCCACGCAGCCGCCCTCACCTGATGATGTTAGTAGAGTCGTAAGCCCCGCCAATACCCACTTCCACCACGGCCAGGTCCACCTGCGGAGAATCAGAGGGCGTGGCGGGAGGTGTACGGGCACCCGTCTGCCACGGGTGAGCCCCCAGCCTGTGTAAGATTCTGCTCCCCAAGGCCCGGGACACAGGGCTCCGGGGAGTGGGCACGCACCTTCTCTTGGAGGAAGACGTGGAAAGCCATAAGCGTGAGGAAACGGAAGTAGCTGGGCATGGAGACACAGCTGCTGCTGTCCTGTGGACAGGAACACGGCGTCAGAGCCTGGGGCCCCTGCGGCCTCTGCCTGGGGCGTGCGGC